TATTAGGAGATACCTTGGACCATGTCCCATGCCAGTCGATCGCAGAATTCTTACAGTTTCCCGATTGTCGGAATGCCTCGTAGATGGTAGATCTTTGGGATTTAGGAAAGATAGCTTAACTCGCCGTCCGAGTATATACGGATCCTGTGCAGTAACGCCGTCCAATACAAAGCCGGGAATCGAACCCGCAATCTCCAGTGCTCGGCGAACACTCAGCAATTTTTCGTACTCGTCTAACCGCCGTCAGAAGTCGCATTAGTTGACACATACAATCGCAGCAGGGTTGGGAACCATGTACCCGAGTACACAGAGCCGGAAGTGTTCAGACTTGACGTGGTTGGCTAACTGTACGTTGCAACTCGCGACTATGGATTAAGCATTGCTCAATCTCACGGCCAGGGCTTGTCTATTAGGTGTCGAGGTCGTGCTGGCGAAGGACTGCCCGCCCTCACTGGCCGTTCTCGTCAGTCTTTCGGACTCCATCGGTCCCTACATTCTTCCTCTTGTGTTGATGGCGCTTTGTGTGAGTGGAGTACCAGGGTCATAAGTAAAAAAATAGGGGGATGCGGAGGCGGTTGGCTCGGCCGCCGTATACGCACAGTAACCAACATCAGTTTTGTTACGTGGTCGCCCGGGATGCGGCGGTGAATTACATCAAGCTGGAATGTTGGAGTGTATCTCGGCAGCCGGCACGGTTTGTGGAGGTACTACACACGAACTTCCTGACAACGTTTAGTGATGGGGAGGTTGTGAACCCATCGGTTGGACATGAGTTGCTGGACCTTTTCGTACGTGTACGTCGTCATGCCGAAGGACGAGTGGACGACTATGTTCGCGGGTGTTTGGACACACTCATGTCTCTCACCGGCCAAAAACTCAAATGCAGCATGCTTGTCAACTATTGCCTCGCCCGAGCCGCCTTAGACCGACAACCCATGGGTGCCAGCGAGCTCAACGCCCTCAAACAGGATACCAATACACGTGAATCGAAACAAATGAACCTCAACCTCAAAGTCGTCGAAATGCTTATGAGATGCAAACTACCGGACGAACTCCTACACTCGACAATAGACGACCAGCGGGTGAATGACTTGGATCTGGAGGTGGACGACCAGGGAATGGACGACCAGGAAGGGGGCGCCCTGGGAGTGGACGGCCGTTATGCGCCGCACAACTCCGGATTTAACGTCATCTCCATTTCAAATGACTATGAAAATCACGTCGCATCCAAAGGCACTCTAGATAATAATGCCCAATTAGAGGCGACGCATCCAGTGGGGACATCGCCTCTACTGTTGTTTTTGGACAGCAGCTTCACAGGACCCAATGCTGAAGAGAGTACAGAACGGAATCCAGGGGACCATATAAATGTGGAGGACCATATGAATGAAGAGCAACATATCCGTGCAGAGCTAGAGTCGAGTAGGCTCGGGCGCTTGCTGGACCCAGCAGCGATGCGAGACGCCAAGTGTCCAAGAACTCCCCTGGACAAGGATATGATGCAGAATGTGGTTGCGGGCTTTCTCCAAGAATTTCAAGAAGGTGCCGCCGAGTTCCCGGACCCACTTTCCTTCCATACGCTCTTATCTAGCTGCGCGCGACTTGGGATGTGGAGTGAGGCGCTGGGGTTCCTGCATGCACTGGACGTTGCAGACAGGTTTTGCGTCGTCTCCTCTGGCACCCGACTGGATCCCGATGATGGAGAAGGCCCTGGCGAGCCGCACGTGCGTGGGTCCGAGGTTCGGGAGTCGCACGTGGGTGGGTCGGAGGTTCGTGAGTCGCACGTGCGTGAGTCGGAGGTTCGTGAGTCGCACGTGCGTGAGTCGGAGGTTCGTGAGTCGCACGTGCGTGAGTCGGAGTTTCGTGAGTCGCACATGCGTGAGTCGCAGATTGGAGGTTTGCCCGAGTGGCAGTCGGTGGATTTGAAAGCACATGAGGTGGTGTCTGGATCTACGCAGTATTGGGTGGAGATAAGTTGTCGGGGTAAGCGTTTGGGTGAGTTGTTGAGTGTGTGTCGCGAGGTGCGTTTGGCTTGTCACGAGTTTCTGGGAGAGCGGCGGGCGGCGGAGTTGAGTGCGGGATCGATCTGGACGGAGGAGCGTATGGAAACACCTGCGTTCGTGCGACAGGCCGTGGAGGATTGTGGGGAGTTGCAACGAGTAGTGTGTGAGTATGCATCGTTGACGAAGGGTGCAGATGGTGGTTTGGAGTTTTTGGTGTTCGGACCGGGCTTGAGTTTTGAGGACTCGGTTTACGTGGCCGACCGTGTCTACAGCTTCTCGCCACCACCACTGTGGTGGTCTCTGACGGTAGCAACCCGGCAGACTGTGATCCGGGAATCCGTAAAGGGCGCGGCTTACGCGGATTGCGCCTTCTACTATGCTCTCTTTATGGCTCTCTTGGCCTCTTCGGAACGTGAAATCGCTTTTTATACAGGCATGGAGAAGTACGTGGATCCCAGGAAAAGAAGGGAGCCCGGGGAGGAGTCGTTGAGAGAAGAAAAGTTCTCTGCAAATGCCATTAATAAAGAAACGTTCTTCCAGAGATTCAGCCGGGGCTTGATCTTGATGGCTCGGAGCCCTATTCAGGACTGCCAGTTGATTTTGGCTTTGTGCTGTCTGCAACTCACCAGACCCCGTCGGGCAAAGAAGTGGGACAAGTTGCTAGCACAGGTGATCGAAGAGTTTGAAGAAGAGGCACTGCACCGAGAATTCGCCCGGGATGACGTAAGATGGTCAGAGGTCGACGAACGAGGCCAGATTTTGGGGCGTCTGCTGAAACGCGTCTGGCAAGAACCCCACCCCGGAGCTTCAGTAACCAGCACTTGCGAAATAGTTGAAGAACAAATACCTGCAATGGACGCGTCGTTAGAAAACGTTGCGCAGCGCTGTGAGTGGGTCGTAGCCTCAGCCATCGACTGGCCCAGACTGGGACAACAAATTATAGATTGCATGGCCGTCGCACATTTACCTATATGAATGGCGTTGACCAAACGGCGCTATCAGGACCTCCACATTTGGCTGCAAATTGCTCTCACCATCACTGTAGGACTACTGTTCGTGGCAGCGTTTCTTGTCAGAGTGGCTTGGATCCTCAAGGATTCAACCAACCCCACGTTTACTGATTCCGGCTACTACGGGTTCCAATACGCCAACCATCGTTTAGACCGAAATCTAGACCGCGGTCTTGGCCCTGGTCTAGATCAACGTCTAGGTGAATTGCATACTGGCGTTAGTCCTAGCGCAGCTCCACTGAGACAAATGTGGACGTTGTTCCCCAGTGGGGAGACTGCTGCGACCGAGGCGAAGTCCTACGCTTACGCTCGTGGATCTGGCGCCATATTTTGGCTGTATAATCAAATGTCTCAGGACTATCCGTACACTTGCCTTTGCGATTCAACTACGCTTGAGCAATGGAAGAGCGGTACGCTCCTCAACGACGAACGGGACGGCAGTCCCGTCAAGTGCGCAGCGTCAGTTTCCAGTATCCTGTCTAGCACTCCGTACTGTGACCCATCGAACAGCTACGATGCAAATTCGACCACTACCGGCTGAATTTTGGCTGGCACACACGTGTGCGCTGCGCCTTAATTGCCCGGGCTGTGCAATGCTGCACACGCGTGTGCTCAAGGCACACGCGTGTGCTCGAGAGATACAGACGCTTTTCGACCGAGACAATGAGCTGTGAAGCTACCACCGATCCACTTGACGATCAGCGAGAAGGTTGTCCATTGATCCAGCCTTCGAACTGGCGCATTAACCAGGGCGAATTGCAGGGCAAGTCGTCGGTCTTCCAAAGCGGACCTGATCCAGGCGGCGCGGCCCGCCTTTTCGACACCGCGGAGTCCTCCGTTGTATTCCGGCGTCCTGGTGGATGGTTGGACGTCTTTTGGGACGACGGGCGGTCACGTTGTAGCGCTTGCTTCGCTGAGCCACTGAGTACCCGGGAAAGCATTTACCAATGCCATCTTAAATGCTTCGGCACATTTTGCCCCGAGCTAAAATTGACCTTGGGCAACGGCATAGCGACCTACTTTTACAACGGCATTCTTTACTGCTTCCATTTAGTCAACTGCGATTACCAGTCACTGCTCATTGTGGACCGTATTAGCACCAATCCAAGCCCTACCATCCCTACCAATGATGCCCCCAACGATGCCCCGAATGATGCCGCCAACAACGGCACTGCCGGTGGTGCCGTGAACGACACCGGCGATGATCCCAGCAGCGATGCTGCGAACGGCGCTATCAACGGCAACGATATCGTCAAAAATATGGACGCCGGGGGCCTTGTTGAGAGTGGGAGAGTTACGTCCTACATCTTGCTGCCTGTGAAATACAATCGCGTAGCGTCTTTGACGTCTCAGCAGATGTCTGACTTGCAATGCCTTGTGCTGCTCGAAGCCGGACGCGCGGTTACAGGTGGCTCAGAGCCGACAGTCGTCGCTGAGAAGGGTGTGAGGGGACAGACAGGGTGGCTTCTGCTGGAGCCAGAAGAGTTGCTTCTGCTTTTGACACCGGAGCAGGGCCGGGTGTCTTCCAAGTCAGTGCTGACCAAGGCGGTAATGAACTGGTGCTCGGGACCTGGGGCTCCGACCGAGCTGCTGCTGAACCCCCGACAGATGGGAGATCGACTGTGGTACAATGTTCGCCGTGCGGTAGACATGGCCGGGGTCCTCGCTCTGACGCCTGACGACTGCGGAAATGAACTTGCTTGTGACGACCAGGAGGCCACAAATCGGGCGACACACCGGGAAACAGACCGGGAACCAGAGCGGGACCGGACCAGCGATCAGACGGACGACCAAACGTGCGATCGCGAGCGTGCCTTGGCGGACACAGACTTGACCACTGACATCAAGTCGTGTTCGTCGAGCAGCGAGTGCGGGGAGTGGAAGGAGTGCTCTGACTTAGAACTGAATATTTGGAGCGAGCTGTCGGACACGGCATTAGCCGGTTCTTCGGATGGCGAAGTGTACGATCCAGGAGAGGAGAAGAAGGAATACCGGATATCGCGACCTCTGGAAAAGTCGGAACGCCCCCCCGGATGGCCTCTGGAGCTCCGAGGTACCCAACATCTAACGGTAGAGTTGGAGCTCGCAGGTTTCCGTTGCGGTAACTCAGAAGAGGCCGCCTTCGACATTGCCCGGCGTCGTTCGACTAAAGAATTTCTGTGGGAAGAGAGTTTCGAGTGGCTGGTTCGTGACGTTTTGGACGAGTTGCGTTACGTGATGGCGACGGGTAATCTGCGCACACATACGAAGCAACTTGGTCGCGGCCGCAGTCGTCAGACTCCGGCTGCAGGTCGTGGGGCGAACCAGACTTCCAGCACGGGTCGCGGCGTATCCTCTCGTGGTCGTGGTCCTAGTCCGGGAGGTCGAGTGGCGGGTCGGGGTCGTGTGGCGGGTCGTGGTCGTGTGGCAAGACGAATAAAAAAGGTTTTTGGCAAATGGATTTTATAACGCGCAGTTATGAACAGGAGGTGTGGACGACACCCTTGTATAAGTCAGTAGGACATGGTGTGTATGTATCATTCTGTGATGCGTGTTTCGACTTAAGGCAGTTGCCTGCACCATTAACAGCTTACGGTCGTGAAATTTTGGCGAAGAAGAAGATTAAGACGGTGATTTTGTGTCATACAAGCACGGTAGATGTGTCGGACACGAATGTATTGAGAGTGGTTAACTTCGATCCAAGTGTGAGTGAACGAGCTTGGCTCGAAAAAACCGTGATGGATGTGGCGTTACCCTCATTGAACAAAAGCGAATATGTGGGCGTATTTGCGGTCAGTGCAGACGCATTAGTAACGACACTGCTCACCCTCATCATGATCCGGTGCCGCGACATGAAGAAGTGCACCGCACTACTCGCCGTGTGCAAGGCCATTGGTGGCGGTGCACTCATCGAGGAGGATTCACATCAACAAATTATCACACAACTCGCCACACAATGGGAACAGGATGAAACCTCCGCTGCCCAAGTCCCCTCCGTTATCGCTAGACAACCCACACAAATCCAGGTCCGGGAATACAACGACCGCCAAGAAGCGCTTTACGATCAAAACATCGCCACTCTCTCATAATAGAAAAAGTATGGGCGGGCGGGCGGATGTCACCGTGCATGGGTGTCACCGTGCATGGGTGTCACCGTGGGTGTCACCGGGCAGAACAGGATGGGTCAGTCGGACACGGGCGGTGCGTGTGAGACTGCAGGTGTTGTTTTCCTTTTTATTCAGGAACAAATATGTTACACTACCGCACCACTGCAGCGTTTGGTCTGTTGCTGAGTTGTCAATTATGCGAGGGTGTGCAACTAGACGCTTACGACTTGGAGGCGAGTGCTTGGGTCTACTCGGGGTCGGCTGGTCGGGGTGCGGAGTCGTCCGTGGCGTTGGTGGCGGAGGTGGACGATGTGGGCGCTATGTGGCACAGGGACGAGTTGGCAGCGGGTAAGTTTGAGGTCCAGATCGACTTTGAAGTGGCAGGTGAGATCTCTTCCCCGTTCACTGCCCTGGACGGTTTTGCGCTCTGGGTCGCCAACAACGTTACCGAGGAAGCGATGACCGCCGTAGCCGCTAGCGATGCACAACTGTATGGCTTTCGGCCGAACTTCTCCGGTTTCGCTGTGTTCTTCAGCACCACTACTCGATCTGGTAGTCTTCGTCCGTCGGTCTCTGTATTGTTCAATGACGGTGCCACTGAGCTAAAGTCGACGACCGACGTGCCTACCGACTTCGGTCTCTACTGGAACTACGGGCCACTGGCCGGTAGTCCTTCCTCGACCTTCAGTCTTCTGATCACGACTGACGGCCCCAAGGCCCACGTCAGTGTTCGCCGCAGCGCCGGAGACAACTGGAAACAGGTGGCCGGCGTCACCGGAGTCTTCGACGTCGCCGGCCGGCTTGGTATTTCCGCGGCCAACAATCGTCTTCAAACGGACGACGGCGAACGATCTCCCGCCACCATCCTTGTGCGCCAACTCGCCGTACAAAGTAACGACCCCCAGTACGTCGCGGATTACGACGCCCGCCAAGCCCTGCTCGATAATCAAGTACCAGCCCCAGTCCCTGTCGGCGGGAAAGCCAAAGCCCAGAAGGAAGCCCAAGTCGCACCACAGAATGATGCAGCGGCACCGTCCGGCGACCTGTCCCGCTACGACTCGCAACTCGACCTCATGATGAGACAAATCATCGACATTAACCAACGTCAACAGAAAATGTCCGCCGCCGTCGACAACCTCATGAAGCAGTTCGCCACCGACAACAAGGGACCCGCAAACAACGTCCAGAAAGCCGTAAGTCAATGCCCCACTGCTGCCCACACCGCCATGCCACCGACCCACTGCCACCATTATATTCCTCTTTCCCTTAGCTTGAAGATATCCGCAATGACCTTTTGATCAAGAGGGAAGAGCGCCTGGTAGGGGGCGACGTGGAGAACGACCGGATCAAGAACCTGCAAGAGAATGCCGCATCCCTCGAGAACACCGTTCGTCAAGCGACTGCTGTTACGACATATCTTGCTGGCGGCCTCGGTGTTTGTGTAAGACCATACTCGAGCCACTCGACCCCCCCCCCCCTTGGCGCACGGTGGCACGCGGTGGCACACGGTGAAGGAAGTTTACGCACGGCTATGTCTTTGCGTTTCAGTTCATCGGCTTCGGCACTCTAATATATCGTCGCATGAGGGAGATGGAGAAGAAGCACTTCTTGTGAAGGGTCTTTTTGAAAGTGTGGCAAATGGCGCTCCCTAAGGCGTCGCGAGATCTCCAATAGTCTTTCATTTCCTGCGCAGAATTATTGATGTGCGGTTAAAATTCAAAGGTAACGAAGTATCTATTTATCAAGCGTTGTTCTTGCAAGTCATTCTTTGCGGACCAGTCTTTGCTGAATCGTCTGAATTTATTCTCTCCGGAGAGAGAGAGAGTTCTTTCTAATACCCGCTCTTGAAACAAAGACGGGAGATTTTTCGTTAAGACTCGATGGGGGAACAGCCTCAGCCTGGTAAAAGACTGGTTGGTGGTCTGTCCATCGGTTTCTCCAGCTGGGGGAGAGTCGTGGGCGTGGACGAGAAACGTTCAACGCCCC